TATCCCAGCTCACACAATCCTTCCATATCATCCTTAGTCCTCCCACCCCTCTTCTTCCGGGACCCCTCTTCTGCTGACACACGCTTCAGGCAGTGCTCTCTTTGCTCGACATGTCCAAACCAAACTAGTCTCCTCTCTTTATCTTCCTGGCCACCTCAGTGACGTGTAGAGATCCTCTAATGTGGCGGTTAGACACTCTGTCCCTTATTGTCACCCCGCGAGTCCATCGCAGCATTCTCATTTCCTTCACACCCAGGCGCTCCTCTTCTCTCTTGGTGGTTGCCCAGGTCTCTGCTCCCTAGGTGAGTGCGGGTCTTATTACACTAGTGTAGATCCTTCTCTTTAGCCTCATGCTCATTCTCCTATCCATCATTACTCCAGCACACTTCCTCCAATTCCTCCATCCACTTTGTATCCTATTTGTAATCTCTGCTTCCATCCCTCCATCATGCTGCACCATAGACCCTAGGTATGTGAAGATATCAGTCTCTCTGAGTACCTCTAGGTCTATTTCCAAATCCACCTCCTGCTCATCCTCCTCTCCGAAGTGGCATTTCATGCATTCCGTCTTCAGTCTGCTGATCCTGCGTCCTCTATCCTCTAAGTTCTCTCTCCAACCCTCTAATATCTGGTTCAGTTCCTCTGTGTCGGCCATGCAAATCATGACATCGTCGGCATGTATAATGTCACAGGGTAGTTCCAGGTGAAGTCCATCGGTCAGGACGCCCAGGCGGTTGACAAAAGGAACGGACTCAAAGCACCTCCCTGGTGGAGGCCAACTCTGACTTCAAAGGGGTCTGTTTCTCCAGCTGTAGACCTTACCATAGTGGTGGAATGTTGGTACATGTCCTTGATGCTCATAACAATATACTCTGGCTCTCCTTTCAGTCTGAGGCTCCTCCAAATTCCATCACGTGGAACCCTCTCTGTATATCTAGACCTAATGTGTCCATTTGATGTATGCGATCTTCTACTGGAATTGATTCAGTACATCCTTGCTGTTACTGATGCAGTCTCTTAGATTAAATCCTCCGCTTTTGCATAGATCTTTTAAATACATGATCATATTAATAGCTCCTTTTGACGTTGGCACAGATTTCCAGCAATCATCAACATAGAAGTATTCACTAATACATTTCATTACCTCATCATCACAAAGCCCCTGACTGTCTATTACAACTTGTCTCAAAGCCATATTAGCACAGGCTGGGCTAGATATTGCACTGAACCAATGTACAGTCATTCTAAACACTTTAGGTTCTATGTTCGAGTCACCCTTTGGCCACCACTAGAAACGTAAGAAATCCTTATGCTTCTCAGGAACTTCAACTTGATAAAACATAGACTCATTGTCACCCATGATGGCTACAGGTTCCTTTCTAAATCTGAGTAACATGTTGTGAAGCTTGGTAGCTAGATTTGGACCGTGAAGTAAATGATCATTCAATGAGTCATCTAAGTACTTAGCTGAGCAATCAAAGCCCACTCTCAACTTCGCTGTTTTTGGGTGGTATACTCCATGGTGAGGAATATACCATACCTTTCCGTCATTTCTGCTTATCTCTGATTCAGGCACTTGTTCAAATTATCCCTTGTCATTTAATTTTGTCATAAAAGCTGCATATTCTTAAGCAAATCCTTGGATCTTGCTGAACCTATTTTCAAGATGATGCATTCCAATTTTGCATAATTCTGATTATTTGGAATCTTCATCTCTTCATCATAGAATGGTAACTCCATCTCGTAGTTGCCATCCACAAGTTTCATTGAATCTTGAACTTTACTTAAAAACAACTTGTCCTTAAATGAATTTTCCCCTTTATCATCTATTATCAGTTCTGGGAATTCCATGTTGATTAGTTCTCTTACCAAATGGTCGAGCCCTTTTCATTCTTCATACTTACTAAGTTCCGCCGTACCATTTTTGTAAGATGTTACAATATCCGCTCCCTGTCACTTCAGTAGACCCCATATTACCCAACCTATTCTTGTTTAGGCAGCAATTGGGCAGTATTCCTCTCCTGATATAATTTCTAATGGTCTATATGCTTCTAGGTTATTGTTTCTGATCAACGGATTCACTTCTCCATCGAATTGTGGAATCTCTACGTCCTTTAAATGTGGCCCCTTTTTTAAGCCTTCCCTTGAAAACATAAACCCTCTGCAATATTTATATTGTACTGAGAATGAACACTTGATAAGTCTACCGAATCGCTTCCTGCCAAGCACCAATTTGTAGATCCTTCAGTACCTTAGAGCTCACCTTCCTTTTCCCATCAAGGTCTCCAAGTTGCATGTGATTCCCTTTCCCTTACACTCCAGCTCATTCATTAGTTTCTCTGAACAAATAGTTGTAGTTGAACCCGGATCTAAGAATGCCGTGTCTGTATGGTTTTATGACTATTCTTCCATTTAACTTTCACTGATATGATTGCTAATGCGGCCATTTTGTCTGTTCCTCTGACAATGTATGGCAAGCTTCTGCATTCATGTTTACCACCTCCCCCCCCCCCCCCCCCCCCCCCCCCACCCCCCCCCCCCCCCCCCCCCCCCCCCCCCCCCCCACCCCCCCCCCCCCCCCCCCACCCCCCCCCCCCCCCCCCCCCCCCCCCCCCCCCCCCCCCCCCCCCCCCCCCCCACCCCCCCCCCCCCCCCCCCCCCCCCCACCCCCCCCCCCCCCCCCCCCCCCCCCCCCCCCCCCCCCCCCCCCCCCCCCCCCCCCCCCCCCCCCCCCCCACCCCCCCCCCCCCCCCCCCCCCCCCCCCCCCCCCCCCCCCCCCCCCCCCCCCCCCCCCCACCCCCCCCCCCCCCCCCCCCCCCCCCCCCCCCCCCCCCCCCCCCCCCCCCCCCCCTTTGGGATTTTGAAGCTTCTGGTTGCTCAGACTTCCTTTGTAATGTCATGTTTTCAATTCTTTAATTTCTCCAATTCAGTCCTTAGATTCCCAATTTCCTCCTGTAGTGGTGTATTTTGCTTAACCTCATCAAACATTCTCTCCACATGCACATGCATTATTGTGGGTTGTTCTTTACTGCACCCAAGGCAAATTTCCTTCTTGAAACATTGAGCGTTACCACGACCAGTTCTCCAGCATGAGAGCACAATTCTTTTCCCTCATTAGCTCAACTTTCCCTTCATATTCAAATTCCTTAAACCTTTTACAGTTAAGTAGCCTATGATTTCCCTTACATTGATGACACCCATTTTCGTAGTCTTCATCACTACTTCTCTCAAATTCCCTTCTTGGACTTGCGTAGCAAATGCTTGTCTCATCATAGGGTTTATTAGTTTTACCTTCGCTTAGTTGCTCTATACCATAGATGAGATGCCTGGCTTTCTTGGCTTCCCCTGAAACGAATTCTGCCAAGTCTGAAAATACTATAGGCTTAGAGGCATCACCTTTCTCACAGACAATTGCACACCATCTTTCCTTGCATGTTGTATGGCAATTTCTCATGTTATCTGGGCTTCCTAAAGTTTTAACTGAATCCATACTTAATATATCACACTCACATCCTGTGAGAAACATGGAAAATTTGTCAAGAGCTCCCAGCTCATTCCCTTTATTACTGGCCAATCCAGAGCCTTCCTTGATCTAAGCCCGGGCCACAACGGCATCATTCCATAACAATCCTCAAGTTCTTTCAAGGCATGCTCATACCCCCTTTTTGGATTCATGCTCGTGAATTCTTGTATTCTTTCTCTTGCTCCCCTGTGGTAAATAGTTCTAAGTAGCTTAAACGTTCATCATAGGAAGTGCAGTAATTTAGCACTTTGTTCGCAACCGTCTCATAATCTATTGAAGTCAAGAGAGTTACCATCAAATGGCCCAATATCCATATTGGGTGTTTGCATTTCTTTGACGAACGAGTCCATTTTTGCTATGAAATTCAAATTGGGCATATCTGGAAAAGTCTCCATATTTACAGGCATTTATACTCCGGCCTTGGTATTTGTTTTCATCATATGTTCCGTTGTCACGTAAGCCATATCGCCTGGAATCATAAGGATTACTAAACCCTTCAAACCTCGGAACTTTAGATATCTCTTGATCGTAAGAACTCACCACTACTTTGGGACTAATCCCCTCCTAATTTTCTTTGCCATCCCAAGCCTAGCGTGAGCTACATCCTTTCATTTTTAATTAACTGCCTCTCTTTCTCATACTCTAATACCTCCGTTTCCTCTTTCCACATTATTTCACATTCTTTCATTTTAGCATCTTCAGTTTTATGTTTCATCGAAAAGTCTCTGTGAGAAGTATTACCGATTAATTCTTGAGGTTTGCTATGTCCCTCCAGAGTTAGTTACCTTTTGCATTACCTTTAAAATCCAAATAATAACATGTAATGGGCGGGAAGCCAGTGTTGCTTCTTTCCAACTACTCCGTTTCTTTGATTCTGCTCCGATTTATAGGTTAATTTTTGCTCAGTCATTCACTTTACCTATTTCACCTTTCTCCTAAACACGAGCACTTGCGTGCACGAGGGCCAAGGTCGCTAATGTCACTAACAAGAACTTCCTCCATGACATATTGCATCAATTTCAAGCATTTCACTCCTTTGCGTGCAGAAACAGTTTCCCGGATTCGCTAATCATAAATAGCCATCCTCAAAAGGTTTGTTACTTTTCTCCGAAAACTAATCACAAATAGGCTTGGTCATATGTTCGATCCGTGCACTCGTTCACAGCCATAATGTTTTTTGCCTCACAATAATCGCCCGTCAAACACCGTGTCACTTCCGTAGACTTTAGCGCAGTTCGCTCTTTTCGCCCGTCTCTTTATCGTAACGTAACAGCAATGATCTCCCTCTGCGTTCCTCAAAACTTTGTTACTTTTCACCAAAAAACTAATCACAAATTAGCTTGATCATATGTTCGATCCGTACACTCGTATACAGTTATGATGTTTCTGTCACATAATAATCGCCCGTCAAACACCGTGCACTTCCGTAGACTTACCCGCAGTTCGCTCCTTCCGTCCGTCTATTTATCGTCACGGCAACGTATAACAGCAACGATCTCCCTCTGCGTTTGACTGTAAGCGCCATTTCACGCGCTTAGATTATTTGCGTTAACTCGAGGTGACTGATACCACTGCGTCGTACTCGCTTCTCAATTTATTTGAATGCGGTCAAACCTGTAATCAATACATAATCAATACAATATCAATCATGCAATAATAATCATAATTGCTGTTACAATTCGACTTAGATTCACTAACAAGATCATATCAGTACTTATAATACATACATACATTTTACTGTTTGCTAAGAATGTCATTATACCCTACTACTTTAGGTAAGCAACAACATACACTGACACTAATGTATATCTATACATGAATGTGTACGATACATACGCATAGCGGGAACAGTCAAGGCCTGTAACAGAAGTCCACAGATCGGTCCTTATGTACGTGTTGTCGAGCCAGTATTCACTCTCAAACTGTTCTATAACCTGTGGTGGCCCCTCTTTCGTGAGACGCCCTTCCTTCATTTATACGTCAACACTAGGGACAAGGCCTAATTCAGCACATACAAACACATGGAGGAACACGGCCATGGCATTATCCTTATCGCAACCCATGAGGAAACCGTCAACCAAGTCCTAGAGGGGATGATATACGCGTGATGCTGATGCCAGCAGCTACGCCATGCCGATGCTGATGGCAGTGGCTACAGATGTTATACACGTGATGCTGATGCCAGCGGGTACGCCATGCCGATGTTTATAACAGCGGCTACACTCCCCCCATTGATTGAGCACGGAGTGTCTCAAACAACACAAAACTCGTGCGCGGCGCTGGGAACGGTATAGTCCAGGTTTAGGCATAGACCGCCACCCCCGAGAGGCTTTTCTATATTCCTCATATACATCACTTCCGAAATGAGTTAGACAGAGAATTGTTACCACAGATGCACAGCACAGCTTGAATCCTATATTTTCTCATATCCCTTTGCCTTGTCTTCATGGTCTCTCTATCAGTAACAACAGGGGCAAACCTAACATCAGATCTCCCACGAATTAACGATCAGTTATAATGATCCTCATCTGTATTGCTGCCGGACAAGGGAAAAAACTCCACGCCCCAGTCACCGGGAGAGAATGCAACCTCTTGTATACAAAAATTGAACTCCTCCCAGAACTTTTGGCCACCGAGATTAAAAACCTCTCCAGGACTCAGCAATACAATGTGTGTTATGGCGTTGTAGGTTCTACCATATATATACCAGGATCAGAATACAAGAAATCACTCAGGCAAAGACAGCGACAAAAAACATTATGCCTTACACTTGGTAACAATCGTTTCTGTACTGCAAATGTGTATGTGATTTTGCTGAATAATTAACTGAAGGTTCTCGTCGAAGTTTTCATCTACAGTTTTTTTTTTTCCAAAGGTTTCACTAGGATGCCGATGCAACATGGCTCCACTCATTTAAGCACCCTCATGTATCAGTCATCAAACAAATCACTATGCACCAGAATGTCAACTATTAAGACAGGATCCTTTGCTACCGATGAATGTCAGCCAAGGAGGCAGTGATTTCCAGGCAGTGGCGTAGACATCAGTTATGATGACAAGTCAGGACACATCTTTCCATGACGTCATCCCATCACACAGGGAAGTCATCAGGGAAGTAGTTTGCCAGGAACTCTGCATCGCATCATGTTCTCGGGATCTGCAATAGCAAGGATACGGCAGAAAAACGGAACAGAGACTCTATCACGAGCACGGGCAGGACATGCATGAACACAGATTTCTCTGGAGTGCTCAAATATTAGCAGAAACTTTGTGATCATTAATTAGACCCATTATTTTCCTCATCACATGAGGACCCGTTATTTTCCTCACTACTTGAGGACCCGCTATTTTCCTCATCACATGAGGACCCGTTATTTTCCTCATCACATGAGGACCCGTTATTTTCCTCATCACATGAGGACCCGTTATTTTCCTCATCACATGAGGACCCGTTATTTTCCTCATCACATGAGGACCCGTTATTTTCCTCATCACATGAGGACCCGTTATTTTCCTCATCACATGAGGACCCGTTATTTTCCTCATCACATGAGGACCCGTTATTTTCCTCACTACCTGAGGACCCGTTATTTTCCTCAATGCATGAGGACCCGTTATTTTCCTCATCACATGAGGACCCTGTTATTTTCCTCACTACCTGAGGACCCGTTATTTTCCTCATCACATGAGGACCCGTTATTTTCCTCAATGCATGAGGACCCGTTATTTTCCTTACCACATGAGCATAATCGATGCTCTGATCAGAGTATTGGAGTCTTGCATATATATCAACGCCATACCCACTATAGCTTGCATCGGCAAACATTGTAATTGTACATTAGCACCTCCAGCTTGCACTTTCCTTGAGCATCCTGGAACCTTAGTATTCTCCAGGGAATCTATGGTTTTATCCATTTCCCATACTCCTTTGATTCCCCATCAGGCATGGGCCCATCCCACATCAGTCCCCTTCTGTACAAGGGGTCGCACAAGGAACCAACCATTGACAGCGTTCCTCTTCCATGTTCCTCTCTATCTCTTATATTTATTTTGAACTCGAAACTGTCTGTGGTGACCGACCACACGAGTCCAAGAGCCCCCTCTGTGGGCAAATTCTGCATATCTAGATCTTCTTCTACAAGCTTTTCCCGACTATACGGGGTCGCTGAAATGGTCCCTCAATTGACGCCTTTAGTTGCTTCTATCCTGGACCATCTCTCTGTACAATCCTGCTTCCCTCATATCCCAGCTCACACAATCCTTCCATATCATCCTTAGTCCTCCCACCCCTCTTCTTCCGGGGACCCCTCTTCCTGCTGACACACGCTTCAGGCAGTGCTCCTCCTCTCTTTGCTCGACATGTCCAAACCAAACTAGTCTCCTCTCTTTATCTTCCTGGCCACCTCAGTGACGTGTAGAGATCCTCTAATGTGGCGGTTAGACACTCTGTCCCTTATTGTCACCCCGCGAGTCCATCGCAGCATTCTCATTTCCTTCACACCCAGGCGCTCCTCTTCTCTCTTGGTGGTTGCCCAGGTCTCTGCTCCCTAGGTGAGTGCGGGTCTTATTACACTAGTGTAGATCCTTCTCTTTAGCCTCATGCTCATTCTCCTATCCATCATTACTCCAGCACACTTCCTCCAATTCCTCCATCCACTTTGTATCCTATTTGTAATCTCTGCTTCCATCCCTCCATCATGCTGCACCATAGACCCTAGGTATGTGAAGATATCAGTCTCTCTGAGTACCTCTAGGTCTATTTCCAAATCCACCTCCTGCTCATCCTCCTCTCCGAAGTGGCATTTCATGCATTCCGTCTTCAGTCTGCTGATCCTGCGTCCTCTATCCTCTAACTTCTCTCTCCAACCCTCTAATATCTGGTTCAGTTCCTCTGTGTCGGCCATGCAAATCATGACATCGTCGGCATGTATAATGTCACAGGGTAGTTCCAGGTGAAGTCCATCGGTCAGGACGCCCAGGCGGTTGACAAAAGGAACGGACTCAAAGCACCTCCCTGGTGGAGGCCAACTCTGACTTCAAAGGGGTCTGTTTCTCCAGCTGCAGACCTTACCATAGTGGTGGAATGTTGGTACATGTCCTTGATGCTCATAACAATATACTCTGGCTCTCCTTTCAGTCTGAGGCTCCTCCAAATTCCATCACGTGGAACCCTCTCTGTATATCTAGACCTAATGTGTCCATTTGATGTATGCGATCTTCTACTGGAATTGATTCCAGTACATCCTTGCTGTTACTGATGCAGTCTCTTAGATTAAATCCTCCGCTTTTGCATAAATCTTTTAAATACATGATCATATGAATAGCTCCTTTTGACGTTGGCACAGATTTCCAGCAATCATCAACATAGAAGTATTCACTAATACATTTCATTACCTCATCATCACAAAGTCCCTGACTGTCTATTACAACTTGTCTCAAAGCCATATTAGCACAGGCTGGGCTAGATATTGCACTGAACCAATGTACAGTCATTCTAAACACTTTAGGTTCTATGTTCGAGTCACCCTTTGGCCACCACTAGAAACGTAAGAAATCCTTATGCTTCTCAGGAACTTCAACTTGATAAAACATAGACTCATTGTCACCCATGATGGCTACAGGTTCCTTTCTAAATCTGAGTAACATGTTGTGAAGCTTGGTAGCTAGATTTGGACCGTGAAGTAAATGATCATTCAATGAGTCATCTAAGTACTTAGCTGAGCAATCAAAGCCCACTCTCAACTTCGCTGTTTTTGGGTGGTATACTCCATGGTGAGGAATATACCATACCTTTCCGTCATTTCTGCTTATCTCTGATTCAGGCACTTGTTCAAATTATCCCTTGTCATTTAATTTTGTCATAAAAGCTGCATATTCTTAAGCAAATCCTTGGATCTTGCTGAACCTATTTTCAAGATGCTGCATTCTCAATTTTGCATAATTCTGATTATTTGGAATCTTCACCTCTTCATCATAGAATGGTAACTCCATCTCGTAGTTGCCATCCACAAGTTTCATTGAATCTTGAACTTTACTTAAAAACAACTTGTCCTTAAATGAATTTTCCCCTTTATCATCTATTATCAGTTCTGGGAATTCCATGTTGATTAGTTCTCTTACCAAATGGTCGAGCCCTTTTCATTCTTCATACTTACTAAGTTCCTGCCGTACCAGTTTTGTAAGATGTTACAAGATCCGCTCCCTGTCACTTCAGTAGACCCCATATTACCCAACCTATTCTTGTTTAGGCAGCAATTGGGCAGTATTCCTCTCCTGATATAATTTCTAATGGTCTATATGCTTCTAGGTTATTGTTTCTGATCGACGGATTCACTTCTCCATCGAATTGTGGAATCTCTACGTCCTTTAAATGTGGCCCCTTTTTTAAGCCTTCCCTTGAAGACATAAACCCTCTGCAAATATTTATATTGTACTGAGAATGAATACTTGATAAGTCTACCGAATCGCTTCCTGCCAAGGCACCAATTTGTAGATCCTTCATTACCTTAGAGCTCACCTTCCTTTTCCCATCAAGGGTCTCCAAGTTGCATGTGATTCCCTTTCCCTTACACTCCAGCTCATTCATTAGTTTCTCTGAACAAATAGTTGTAGTTGAACCCGGATCTAAGAATGCCAGTGTCTGTATGGTTTTGTGACTATTCTTCCATTTAACTTTCACTGATATGATTGCTAATGCGGCCATTTTGTCTGTTCCCTCTGACAATGTATGGCAAGCTTCTGCATTCATGTTTACCACCTCTTTGGGATTTTGAGCTTCTTGTTGCTCAGACTTCCTTTGTAATGTCATGTTTTCAATTCTTTAATTTCTCCAATTCAGTCCTTAGATTCCCAATTTCCTCCTGTAGTGGTGTATTTTGCTTAACCTCATCAAACATTCTCTCCACATGCACATGCATTATTGTGGGTTGTTCTTTACTGCACCCAAGGCAAATTTCCTTCTTGAAACATTGAGCGTTACCACGACCAGTTCTCAAGCATGAGAAGCACAATTTCTTTTCCCTCATTAGCTCAACTTTCCCTTCATATTCAAATTCCTTAAACCTTTTACAGTTAAGTAGCCTATGATTTCCCTTACATTGATGACACCCATTTTCGTAGTCTTCATCACTACTTCTCTCAAATTCCCTTTCTTGGACTTGCGTAGCAAATGCTTGTCTCATCATAGGGTTATTAGTTTTACCTTCGTTTAGTTGCTCTATACCATAGATGGGATGCCTGGCTTTCTTGGCTTCCCCTGAAACGAATTCTGCCAAGTCTGAAAATACTATAGGCTTAGAGGCATCACCTTTCTCACAGACAATTGCACACCATCTTTCTTGCATGTTGTATGGCAATTTCTCATGTTATCTGGGCTTCCTAAAGTTTTAACTGAATCCATACTTAATATATCACACTCACATCCTGTGAGAAACATGGAAAATTTGTCAAGAGCTCCCACATCATTTCCCTTGATTACTGGCCAATCCAGAGCCTTCTTGATCTAAGCCCGGGCCACAACGTCATCATTCCCATAACAATCCTCAAGTTCTTTCAAGGCTGCCTCATACCCCCTTTTTGGATTCATGCTCGTGAATTCTTGTATTCTTTCTCTTGCTTCCCCTGTGGTAAATAGTTCTAAGTAGCTTAAACGTTCATCATAGGAAGTGCAGTAATTTAGCACTTTTGTTCGCAACCGTCTCATAAATCTATTGAAGTCAAGAGAGTTACCATCAAATGGCCCAATATCCATATTGGGTTTTTGCATTTCTTTCACGAACGAGTCCATTTTTGCTATGAAATTCAAATTGGGCATATCTGGAAAGTCTCCATATTTACAGGCATTTATACTCCGGCCTTGGTATTTGTTTTCATCATATGTTCCGTTGTCACGTAAGCCATATCGCCTGGAATCATAAGGATTACTAAACCCTTCAAACCTCGGAACTTTAGATATCTCTTGATCGTAAGAACTCACACTACTTTTGGGACCTAATCCCCTCCTAATTTTCTTTGCCATCCCAAGCCTAGCGTGAGCTACATCCCTTTCATTTTTAATTAACTGCCTCTCTTTCTCATACTCTAATACCTCCGTTTCCTCTTTCCACATTATTTCACATTCTTTCATTTTAGCATCTTCAGTTTTATGTTTTCATCGAAAAGTCTCTGTGAGAAGTATTACCGATTAATTCTTGAGGTTTGCTATGTCCTCCAGAGTTAGTTACCTTTTGCATTACCTTTAAAATCCAAATAATAACATGTAATGGGCGGGAAGCCAGTGTTGCTTCTTTCCAACTACTTTCTTTGATTCTGCTCCGATTTATAGGTTAATTTTTGCTCAGTCATTCACTTTACCTATTTCACCTTTCTCCTAAACACGAGCACTTGCGTGCACGAGGGCCAAGGTCGCTAATGTCACTAACAAGAAACTTCCTCCATGACATATTGCATCAATTTCAAGCATTTCACTCCCTTTGCGTGCAGAAACAGTTTCCCGGATTCGCTAATCATAAATAGCCATCCTCAAAAGGTTTGTTACTTTTCTCTGAAAACTAATCACAAATAGGCTTGGTCATATGTTCGATCCGTGCACTCGTTCACAGCCATAATGTTTTTTGCCTCACAATAATCGCCCGTCAAACACCGTGTCACTTCCGTAGACTTAGCGCAGTTCGCTCCTTTCGCCCGTCTCTTTATCGTAACGTAACAGCAATGATCTCCCTCTGCGTTCCTCAAAACTTTGTTACTTTTCACCAAAAAACTAATCACAAATTAGCTTGATCATATGTTCGATCCGTACACTCGTATACAGTTATGATGTTTCTGTCACATAATAATCGCCCGTCAAACACCGTGCACTTCCGTAGACTTACCGCACTTCGCTCCTTCCGTCCGTCTATTTATCGTCACGGCAAGGTAACAGCAACGATCTCCCTCTGCGTTTGACTGTAAGCGCCATTTCACACGCTTGGATTATTTGCGTTAACTCGAGGTGTCTGATACCACTGCGTCGTACTCGCTTCTCAATTTATTTGAATGCGGTCAAACCTGTAATCAATACATAATCAATACAATATCAATCATGCAATAATAATCATAATTGCTGTTACAATTCGACTTAGATTCACTAACAAGATCATACATACATACATTTTACTGTTTGCTAAGAATGTCATTATACCCTACTACTTTAGGTAAGCAACAACATACACTGACACTAATGTATATCTATACATGAATATGTACGATACATACGTATAGCGGGAACAGTCAAGGCCTGTAACAGAAGTCCACAGATCGGTCCTTATGTACGTGTTGTCGAGCCAGTATTCACTCTCAAACTGTTCTATAACCTGTGATGGCCCCTCTTTCGTGAGACGCCCTTCCTTCATTTATACGTCAACACTAGGGACAAGGCCTAATTCAGCACATACAAACACATGGAGGAACACGGCCATGGCATTATCCTTATCGCAACCCATGAGGAAACCGTCAACCAAGTCCTAGAGGGGATGATATACGCGTGATGCTGAAGCCAGCAGCTATGCCATGCCGATGCTGATGGCAGTGGCTACAGATGTTATACACGTGATGCTGATGCCAGCGGGTACGCCATGCCGATGTTGATAACAGCGGCTACACTCTCCTCGTTGCTTCTTCCATTTCTTGCTTGTATTTTTATATATTATTTCGTTATGGATATAGTGATTTGTTCAATTTGGTTGAAACTTAATGCTTTAACTTCACGTGAAAATATTCACTGTGCATTGGGAAATTAATATAATAGGTTGAATAAAGATACATCAGAACCCGACAAGATATAGTTTGATTTTGATATATGTTGAAACCTGGTTGCTGGATTTTGAAATATAGTACTATTTGCATTTTCATTTTTGTTTTTAGTAAATTTTATATCCTTTTTTTTTGTCCTCAGTGTCATTTGTAGCTCAGATACTCATATAACCTATGGACATTTATTGAAAGACAAAATTACCAGTATGCATCATACCACAACATATAGAAGTTTATCAATGGACACCTTGTGTGTGAAGGCATACAGTCACGATATCAGCCAAGGATGGGCTAATGCCGATAAGGGCGCATTGCTACATTCACCCACGGTTTCTAACTACGAGGGTCCCTCAGAGTCGTCCCTTTCTAACCACGAGGGTCCCTATTTGAGCCATTGTCCAGCTATGCATGTCAGAATACATAAGGCTTCATTAACGGGGTGTCCCTATACCCAAAATGCCGTACGATATGAAGTGAACTGAACGACTCTTGGCAGTCCATAGGTCTTCTCTGTCAGAATTAAACATAGAGGATTATTCATGTGGATATAAAACTGATAGAAAGAATGGGATATTCATATCTCCCATTAAGCTTGACACCAAATGACTGGGTTCTGTTATACACCCTATTTTGGAACAGTCATTGTCATTGTTATGGAACAAAAGCTACATAATATATAAACACATACATAATACATACATATATAAACACATACATAATACATACATATATAAACACATACATAATACATACATATATACACACATATATGAAAATATATATAAAGTGTGTGTGTATGTGTGTAAGTGTATACATACATATACATTCACATACACACACACAATCAAAGGACACAGATCAAATATTTGTATCCCAACCACTTTTCTTGTAGATTTAATATAACGGGATACAACAGAGAGAGGGAGGGAGAGAGTACTTCAGGGTCCCTGTAAAAGGCTATTGAGCCTTAGTACAATGGTTGTGACTGGTTAGGTAGTGATAGTGGTTAAATGGCTTGATTCTTTATTTCTATAGCACAGTACAACACAGTAAACAGAACACATGCGACGTCTTGGGCAAGTGCTGAGTGCAGTGTCACGTGCCCGGCCAGCTAGTCCTTGGAGGCCGGAGGTTGGTGGGGGCCCTGGTCACAGTGACTTCTGAAAGCGAATTGAAGGGTTAGACGAGGTCAGACATAATCATTATCTAGGCCCTCGCTGAGGCGATGGTTTCAACTTGACTTAGAGCCACATGTTCCATAACCACATGGTCTGTTGGTCTAATGGCTTACACAAATCGTTCTTATGTACAGGTCATAATGCTCGGCTAATACTACTAACGCCTCGTCCTCGAGGCATCTTAGATTGGCCTCAAGGGGTGACCCAACTTTGGCTGGTCTTGATTGGCTGGTCATCTCGTTCTTGCATGCGTTGTCCTTGGTTGATCTTTGTGACTGCTCGTCCTTGTCGTCCTCTTCTTCTTCCTGGTCCTTGGCGAATCCATACATCCTCTAAGGTCTCGCGCAGGTCCTCGACTTCCTTATCCAAACATTCTCGCAGATATTATCCAGGTCCTTCTGAGCTGCGTGCTCGTCCAATCGTCCTAATAACCTTCATTTGTATATACGAGCATCCGGAAGGTGGCGTCCTCTTCGGCATCCTAAGCGGATGGTGCCTGCATGACGAGCTCCTGGAGTTTGACTGGTACCTGTGTTGGTGAGTTCCTGGTCCTTCGCTGGATCCATGGGTTTCTTGGAAGGCGGCTCCTTTCCACTACATCATGGGGCAGCTTAATACCTGCTCTGACAAACATCCTTATCCGCAGGCCTATGGCAATTTCCGCTGACATCCTTCCTACGGCATCCACTAGATTTTGGATTCGCTACGAAATTCTGAAATGCCGAGCTAGTCATTGTCCAGCAATGCATGTCAGACCACATAAGGCTTCATTGATGGGGTGTCCCTATACCCAAAATGACGTACGATATGAGCTGTGAACTGAACTGAACGAGCCGGGAAAATCTATAAATGACCTTCTCTACTCTGTGTATCTGTGATGGGCACTCATAACATTTTCTATGGGTATCTATCACTAATCACACGAGTGCTTGGGATTTACCCAAACCATGCAAATGTCTTCTAGATGATGAGGAGGGCGTGATTAATAAGCAAATAATGATTCTAACTTAAACCCTAGTTCTACATGGATGTACTGTGGGTCACACCAACTCGAATAAAAGCTTCGGTTTTACTTGTACCTACTATCGTAATGTCGGAGTGTAGATCTATTAGGCGATTTACACAACCCCGGATTTTATATTAACAAACCCACTAGCTACTTTATTTAGTTGCAGATTGAACAACCTATTTAACAACAGCATGTTAGGTTACTGTAGTTATTATACTAATGCTATTATCATTGAGTTATTGTATATCATTGCTACTACAATTAACTGATAGTGGGTTTGTTAAATAGACTCTGTGGAAAGGATGGATATGATCAAGCACTGAAGATAGTAAATTGTGGGAGGTGGGACCATGAAGCCAAAGTTATGCATCTGTCTCCCTCCCTCCCTCTCTCTTTCTCTCTCTCTCCTACTCATCGGCTTCCTCCCTCCCTCCCTCTCTCTCTCTCTCTCTCTCTATTCATCGACTCCCTCCCACCCTCCTTCTCTCTCTCTCTCTTTCTCTCTCGTGTTGCTACAGAAGACCAAATCGGGCCTTGGGTTGATGTTCTGAACGGCATCCAGTCAGACAAGGGCGATGCTGCCACAACCTCGTTACATTTACTCTGAAAATATCTAAATTATCTGTATTTTTATTATCAATTGCTTATCACCCATGGAGGTTCGTTTATCTCATAAGTAACATAGGCACAGTCAACAAACATGAATATTGTTCATGAAGTAATTAACTATCTCTCGTTTTAGATTTCTTTATTGTTTTAACTACGACGAATTTAACGCGTTCGTGATTATCGTTATCATGGACATCATATCATATTATCTCGTTCCTCCCTTCGCCCCGACCTGACCTCACTTTCTCTTTCCCTTCCGGTTGGCTGGGTACGTGAAAGGACCAACAGATGACCACTCGTTTTTTCCCATAATTTGGTTGCTGTTGTTGACACCATAGGGAAAACCATAGCCTTGTTCATTGGTGACATGTTCTATCGGTGCGCGAGCGGAGCTTGTAACGCGATTTTTATATGAATATATTATTTTGAGTATAACGTTAGAATCTTCATAGTGCATAGGGATGCCTGATATAAAATTCGGGGTTCCATAAATCGCCTAATAGATCTACGCTCCGACATTACGGTAGTAGGTACAAGTAAAACTGAAACTTTTATTCGACTCAGTGTGACCCACAGTACGTCCATTCGTTAATGTTTAAGCTAGAATCATTATTCGCTTATCAGTTATGCCCTTCTCACCATCTAGAAGTCATTTGCATGGTTTGTGTAAATCCCAAGCACTCGTGTGATTCGCGATAGTTAGATACCAATAGAGAATGTTATGATAGCCCATCACAGATATGCAGAGTAGAGGTTATTTATAGATTATCCCAGCTCGTTCAGTTCAGTTCACAGCTCATATCGTACGGCATTTTGGGTATAGGGACACCCCATCAATGAAGCCTTATGTGGTCTGACATGCATTGCTGGACAATGACTAGCTCGGCATTTCAGAATTTTGTAGTGAATTCGAAATCTAGTGGATGCTGTAGGAAGGATGTCAGCGGAAATTGCCATAGGCCTGCGTATCAGGATGTTTGTCAGAGCAGGTATTAAGCTGCCACATGATGTAGTGGAAGGGCGCCACCTTCCAGGACGCCCATGGATCCAGTGAAGGACCAGGAACTCACCAGCACAGGTACCAGTCAAACTCCAGGAGCTCGTCATACAGCCATCATCCACCTAGGATGCCGAAGAGGGCGCCGCCTACCGAATGCCCATTGATACAGACGGTTATGAGGACATTTGGATAAGGAAGTACGAAGTCGAAGACCTGCGTGAGACTTTAGAGGATGGATGGATTCATCAAGGACCAGGAAGAAGAAGAGGACGACAAGGACGAGCAGCCATGAAGATGGACCAAGGACAAGATGCCTCGAGGACGAGGCATTAGTAGTATTAGCCGAGCAATATGACCTGTACATAAGAACGATTTGTGTAAGCCATTAGACCAACAGACCACGTGGATATGGAACGTGTGGCTCTAAGTCAAGTTGAAACCATCGCCTCAGCGAGGACCTAGATAATGATTATGTCTGACCTCGTCTGACCCTTCAATTCGCTTTCAGAAGTCCCTCTGACCAGGGCCCCCACCAGCCTCCGGCCCCCAAGGACTGGCTGGCCGGGCATGTGACACCGTGCTCAGCACTTGCCCAAGACGTCGCATGTGTTCTGTTTACTGTGTTGTACTGTGCTATAGAAATAAAGAATTAAGCTATTTAACCACTGCCACTACCTAACCAGTCACAACCATTGTACGAAGGCTCAAAAGCCTTTTACAGGGACCCTGAAGTACTCTCTCCCTCCCTCTCTCTGTTGTATCCCGTTATATTAAATCTACAAGAAAAGTGGTTGGGATACAAATATTTGATCTGTGTCCTTTGATTGTGTGTGTGTATGTGAATGTATATGTATGTATACACTTACACACATACACACACACTTTATATACATTGATATATTGACCAACTCTGTCGTGAAGTAGATAGGGACCGTAGACCTACCTGACGGCTCAAATAGGGACCCTCGTGCTTAGAAAGGGACGGCTCTGAGGGACCCTCGTAGTTAGAAACCGTGGGTGGATGTAGCAATGCGCCCTTATCGGCATTAGCCCATCCATGGCTGATATCGTGACTGTATGCCTTCACACACAAGGTGTCCATTGATAAACTTCTATATGTTGTGGTATGGTGCATACTGGTAATTTTGTCTTTCAATAAATGTTCATTGGTTATATGAGTATCTGAGCTACAAATGACACTGAGGACAAAAAAAAAGGATATAAAATTTACTAAAAATGAAAATGCAAATAGTACTATATTTCAAAATCCAGTAATTTGGTTTCAACATATATCAAAATCAAACTATATCTTGTCGGATTATGACGTATCTTTATTCAACCTTTTATATACATTTTCCAATTAAGTTTCAACCAAATTGAACAAATCGCCAGATCCATAACGAAAGGATATATAAAAATACAAGCAAGAAATGGAAACAACGAAGAGAGAGAGAGAGTAAGAGAGAGAAAAAAAATACCAATATATCTCTTCGTCTTTCCATGTTCAAGGATAAAAGGAAACCTCAGGGGGTTACAGAGTGACTTTATTCTCATTTGCAACGTTAATAACTTTCTTTTTAGTCTTATTTTTCATTCATTATGTTTGGTTATTTTGGGGTGTTAAATATAACAAGAGTTAGCAGTCAAGTCTTTCTACTGCAAGTTATCTGCTTATATATATATATATATATATATATATATATATATATATATATATATATATATATATATATATATATATATATATATATATATATAAACTTCTGTTTCTGTTAAAATCACACAATTACACATTAATGAAAAATGTACGAAACATAATTTTCCTCCGCCATAAAGAATGTCAAAATATAAAATTCTTCGATAACAATAATCTGTTGTAAATGATAAAATATGAGAATAGGCTTATGTATCAATATGCAATCATCATTACTAGTGTCTCTGTTTTTTGTTTTAAATCCTCCTTGCTTTACTATTCACACACACGCATACACGTATAAACACACACACATATATATACAGGAATATATGTATATAAAAAATACTTATTTATTCCTTTATAATTATATGCATCCACACATACAGATATGTTATATATATATATGTGTGTGTGTGTGTGTGTGTGTGTGTGTGTGTGTGTGTGTGTGTGTGTGTGTGTGTGTGTGTGTGTGTGTGTGTGTGTGTGTGTATACATATATATATACATATATATATATATATATATGCATGTATGCATTACACAAATTCGCTGTGTGTGTGTGTGCTTCCGTGTGCAAACACGTATTCCACTCTCCTCTTCTCCTCTTCCTTTACAACCCTTACATAACCCTAACTCTTCCTCCTTCCTCTCCTTCTCAACCTCTCCAATTATTATCTTCTTCAGTCCCCATCCTCCTCCTCCTCCACCTCCTCCCAGTCACTCCATCCTCCTCCCAGTCACTCCATCCTCCTCCCACTCACTCCTTCCTCCTCCATCTATCCCTGAATGGTCCTGAGAATCCACGGGATGTAGAAGCGGACGCTGGTGTAGAGGCCCTGGGTGTTGGAGGACCCGCAGCTCCTCGGGCCCAGGCTGGTGATCCCGACGACGAAACTCTTGGTCCCGACCTGGTTGTAGAGGGTCAGGGGGCCGCCTGCCGGGGAGGAAACGAGAGCACAATTGATATAAATATATATACATATATGTATATATATATTTTTCTATACGTAGGTATATAATATTTACACACACACACACACATATATATATATATATATATATATATATATATATATATATATATATATATATATATATATATATGTGTGTGTGTGTATATATATATACATATGTATATATATATATATATACATATGTATATATATATATATATATACATATATATATATATATATATATATATATATATATATATATATATATATATATATAATATATATATGTATATATATATATATATATATATATATATATATATATATATAAATATATATATGAATATATATATATATATATATATATATATATATATATATATATATATATATATATATAATGTAAATCTGCGTGTATATAAGAATATGTATAGATATATATACATATATAAAGACACACACACACGGCATTCTGTTTCAGTCAATATCAGTATCTGTATATACAAATATACATTTACATTATCTCTCTCTATATATACACATATATATATAATATATATATGTATATAAAATATATATAATATATATATAATATATATATATATAATATATATATATGATATATATATGTGTGTATATATATATATATATATATATATATATATATATATATATATATATATATATATATATATAATATATATTTGTGTGTGTGTACATATATATTAAATATATAATGTTCCTATACATTTATACATAATATTTACACATACTTATACATATATAACACTGTACAAATGTATAACAGTATCTATGTATACACATATATAACTATACATTACATACACACACACACATATGGATGCATGAGTGCGCGTGCGTGTACCCCCCCCCCCCCCTTCGCCAGCCCGAAGGCCACCTTACCAGAGTCTCCTCGGCACGTGTCCTTGCCCTCCCCCCCGGCGCAGAGGGTCATGCGGGGGTCAGGGTAGCCCCTCCGGAGCCTGTCGCAGAAGCTCAGCTCCTGAATGGGCAGCTGCACCTGCTGGAGGACGTCCGGGCGTCGGTTGACTGTGAAATCTGAGGGAAAGAAGAGGGGACTTAGTTCGTGTGATGCAAGTATCTGTTTATTTTTCATTCGGATTTTTTTTTTTTTTTTTTTCATCTTCTTCATCTCTGTGCGAGTGTCTTATTAAATACGGTGTTTGGTTTCATTTCCCGGAATATGAGTTTTTCTTTTCTTTTTCCTTTTTTTGTCAACACCATTGTTGCTAAAACTGTCATCATTATCCCTGTTGTCATATAATTTAACATCACTGATGACATCATTAACCTCGTCATTCATCGTTGTCATCATTAATGTTATCATTACGGTCCTCCTTAACGTTATTACCTTATAATCCTCACCAACAATCATTATCACTTAATTATGCGTTGATTAGACTAATTTCCTGTCCTTACCCCTCGCAGTGGAGCCCCAGCCAGCGGCCCAGGCACCTCTGCCCTGGAATTCTTGCTCAGAGAAGCCCATGTCTTGGACGGGGTTGACCGGGAGACACACGGGCGTCACAAAGCCTGGGGGGGGGGGGGGAGAAAGATACGGTTAATGTATGGTAATGAAAACATCTATGTAAGCGAATATGTGTATATGTGTGTGTATGCGTGTGTGTGTATTTGTGTATAGGCCTTTTTTGTAACATCCCGAAACCCGTAACACTATGATACATTACATCATGTTGTATCACGGTCGCTACAAAACATAATAGCATCGAAGTTTATGCTGACATACAAAGTTTTTTAAAAAAAGTTACTTTTCTTAATTTTACATAAAATGTCATTAGAAAACCACTAAAGAATTTAATATACTGGTATGAATTTTCATTACAAGCAAATCAACATGGAAGCTTCAGATAAAATGGAAAAAGTGCCTGACTACTCTACAACTTCAACTGTCTATATACACCACTTTTCGTTTCACAAGGCTGTAAAAACTTTCAATTGTATTACTTAGATTCAGTCAAATCATTTGTATTCTTAGTATATATATTGGTCTTCCTATGAAAAGTGGAAGTTGCATGAGGTTTTGCATCTTAAAGTATCCACCGCGAATGAGCTCTGTGTCCGAATCAGATATCTTGATAATTCCAGTAATCGCGAGCATTTATTTATCAAATTGATTGAACTATATCAACAAATGAAGATGCATAGACTCTCCTCTGATATTCTTTAGCCTGTAAGATTCATAGAAGTATAGAATGATTTTGAAAACATTTATCTCATCAAAGTCAATACCATGTCAGATGACTCGGACACGTTGGAAATTCTTACCATGTCGTTCCAGCGACCGTCTTGATTGACTTCAAATTTTACCCATATAGAGTGAACATTTTTGGGCATATTATATATATATATATTTTTTTTTTTTTTTTTATCAAGAAATTAACGTAATTAATGAAAACAGAAATCCCTATCTGAGACTTCGTGAAATATATCTGAAAAATATCACACTCTGATTGGCTGACTGGAGTGTATCACGGTAGAGGTATACATTCTGATATAAAACGAAAAGGTGTTTCAACAGGTGCCAAATAATAGTTTTGAGCTCCAACAGAGTTATATAACAATTTCTGTTTTGGATTAGATTTAAAGCTTCTGCCTTGTTCCTTTTATTTATTCATTTATTCTTTATCATTACCATTTTTCTACCATTATGATTATTTTTGAGGAGTTAGGACACGATGGAGTGAATAAAACGTGCCATAAGGGTTCAAAGACCATTGACCACTGAGGTATTCAAAAATTTGACTTCCAAAAACTAGGATAGCAAAGGCGATGGATGCATAAGCTGGAACAAAACACTCACAAGGTAAAGAAACAAAAACACAAAATTCTATAGTCTGGACATTTCACGCACCCTTATTCAGAAAAGAAAAAGCAATTGAAAGTGAAATAAAGAACACTTGATAACAAAAGACACTTACGTGGGTGTAGGACGGCCGGACGACTCAACCGGAGCAGGGCGATGTCGTTGCATTCCGTGCACGGGGAGCCGTACTGGGGGTGTCGGATGATCCTCTCCACGGGAATATCCTGCGGCGAAGGAGCGCAGCGCCCTTTGGAGCAGTCTGGGTCGAAGGAGAGCGTGTGCTCCCCGATCCTAGCTATGTCCCTGGAGTTGAAAGAGGGTGAGAGATTCTATTGAAAATGACGTAGTTTATCTCTTGACACTCCTTGTTATGGAATCAAATCTCTTCAAAGCTATAACCTAAGCTGAACAAGGTTTGATTCTTGTCACAATCAATGTGTGAATCGTATCTAATTCAGTCACTAAAATCAACTTATTCCACCAGGCTTGACTCGAGTGACTCACAGCACAAGACCGAGTCCCTCCTTGAAGCAGTGAGCGGCGGTGAGGACGTAGCGGTCAGACACGAGCACTCCGCCGCAGAACCACGAGCGGCGTCCGTTCACTGTAGGTTCAGGGAGGAACAGTGTCAAGTAACGTGGTAACGTGTCGGTGGTTCGCGCCCCGATTACTGCTGTGGCTGGGCACCACGTGGCTATGGACTAAGCTCAGTCGAGTCAGCACCAACTGGTAACGGTGATCGACGGCATTAGTGGGCACAGGCCGGGCTCCCTTCAGAGGCAAAGCCTGGGCGAGGCTCAACTTCCCACTTCTGACTTATCCTTGTATTTCACTTTCTTAGTCCAGTTCTGTCTAGATTTAAGTACTTACTTTTTAAAGATCTGCTTTTGAGGAAATAGTGGTCAGGTAACCTTGTAACTGCTACAGTTAAGTGCCAATTCATTGATTAGAAAACTAATGTTTTACTAGTCTTTCATTTAAAAAACTGAAAGTAATTTTCACTCTTACGCCCGCCCTACACATTTCAAACTTCAGATGAAATACATCATACTATATATATGTGTATATATATATATATATATATATATATATATATATATATATACATATATATTTACATATATATATATATAGATTTACCTATATATACATATATATTTACCTATATACATACATATATATTTACGTAAATATATATATATATATATATATATATATAAAATATATATATATATATATAATATATATATATATATATATATATATATATATATATATATATATATATATATTTACGTAAGGATACGGATAAGTCTGATATGCGAAGCCTCGCCTCGCCCTGGGGAGGGGAGGGGAGGGGAGTCCGGCTTGTGTCAACTAATGCCGACTCGCTAATGCGTGTCAGCTGGTGCTGACTCGGCTTTGTCCTTACCCGCCGTGGTGCCCAGCCACAGCAGTAACCTCCAGGCGACAATTGCAACTTATCGCGCCTGGGCGGGGCGCGAACCGCCGACCCCTCGGATGAAAAGCCGACACATTACCACTGTACTAGCCTGGAGGCTATATATTTACATATATATATATACATATGTATACACTCAACAGAAAGACTTGGCTCCAGAACCGACCTGTGCCGCGCAGAACCACCATCCAGGGCCAGGCGCCGAGAGGGGCGTCTTCGCCGTCGATGATCTTGTCAGCGATTCCGGAGATCCCGCACTGCACGTTGGGGGGGCTGGGAAGCGTCGTCTGAGGGGGGGGGGTCATTTTATGCCACTAAATTACAAGGCAGCTTGTGTGTAAATACAAACCCAAAGTGTGTGCTTATAGGTTTGTGTATGTGCGAGCTGACATGCAGAAATACACCCCCAAGCATTTGAAATTGGGGAAACGGCAACAACTATCGAACAGACAAGCTAAATACACAAAAAAGAAAATTGCCGATAGTATTGACGGTACTTTTACGCAATACTTTCGCATAACCGATCGCGATAATTTTGGTATCGATGGATTCCTCTCACTCTAATCTAATTATATGGAAATTATGCTGCGCAATCCCCTAAAATCCTCACGTTCTTGGCTCTGATAGCAGGGGAGGGTATGGAAGGTACCAGGGGAATTGCGGGGTAAGATATGAATAATATACTGAATCAGTCACTATATTGTCTAATATGACCCACCATACGTGGAGGATTCTTTGTTTTCCTGGGCGGGGTTAGGGGGCCGGCAGCTCGCCATGAGGGGGTTACACGGGGAATAGTATCCTGTATTATACAATATAGTGATTCACTCTATGTATATTATTCATATTTTACCCGGCAATTTTCTTGGTACCTCCCATGCCCTCATCCACTATCAGGACCAAGAATGTGGGGATGGGAGGGGGTGGGGGTCCGCGGCATAATTCCTACATATATGTGTCCTAGAGGCTGAGAGGAACACGCACACGCACACAACCGACGACATTTTCAAACCTACCTGCACGACTGGAGGCCTTGTGGGCGCAGCAGTAACGGACAAGCTCTGAGAGGGACAACACACGAGGGGCTCGTTGTTCAGAAATGAGCAGATGGCACTGGAAGGAGAAATTCACGGATTACGGATGTCATGTTGGAAGGAGAGAACAAAGAATGTGAAATCTATGAGGATTCTGAAGCTCTTGTACTTCTCAATAAACTTCATTTGTGTTTTTTTTCTACCGTGGCAATGTTTAATCTTAGTGAGGTAATGAAATGAAACATCTGTAGTTTATATAAGGAAAGGTGGGACAATGAATGAATAACAATGAATAAAATGAAATCGAGGTAATGCCTAACATATACGTTATAATCAAACACTTGCAATTAACAGAATGAACAGGTAAGCACTGTCACCTGCTACTTAAAAAAAAAACAAGAAACGAAAAGAAAAGAAATACAGAACAAGAAAAGAACAAGAACAATGAATACGAAGGAAACGTTTATTCTTTATAATATTACGAAAAACCTCAATACATCGCATGCGGGTTATTCATTCTGAAATCAATATCAGTTTATTAAGTCGACAATCTACTTACTTAGAAACTTTAAATATAGATATTACGTATTCATATAGAGATTATTGTTGATACTTTTCACGGTATTTAACAGCAAAATATTTTAGGTATAACTCAAGCATGATATCCTCACTAGTTGATGATAACAAAAAGATAACTTTATGAATAATATCATTACATTATCGGTATCGCCAGTACTGTCACATATATTATAATTGCATTCATCATGATAATAATAAACATTATATTACTGTCCCTAATGATAACTGATAATGACAACGTAATCTGCCACATATACATTAAACCTGATGTTATAGTTCTAAACTGAAAGATATATTAGCATACACAGCACACACATACAAACATATATATATAATATATATATTTGTGGCATCTGTCAGTCACTACTGGCCATTGGTCTGTGCCTTGAAGAGCCATGCCCTTTGGCGCCATACACTACGCCAAGTGAGACCGGTAACTGTCACTTCTCGTGTTGTGTCGTCTTCTTGCAGCAGCACTGGAGGGTCCTCTCCAGGGTGCAGGCACGAGCGAGGGTGATGTGGAAGGCAGGCTGCTGGCCATGCAGTAAGTACCCTCTCCGTCACATGCAGCTTAGCACCAGACAGTTACGAGAGTTACGAGAACAAAACTGAAGTCAACAGCAGCTGTGGTATATAGGTAGTGCACTCGAGAACCAACACCATAATGATATATATATGTGTGTGTGTGTGTGTGTGTGTGTGTGTGTGTGTGTGTGTGTGTGTGTGTGTGTGTGTGTGTGACTGTGGTAGTGAAATCAATTTGTTGGTATAGTTATTCACATACGACACATATATATACATATATATACATGTATATAATATGTATGTATGTATATATATATATATATATATATATATATATGTATGTATGTATATATACATACATATTATATACATGTATATATATGTATACATGCATGTATGTATGTATATATATATATATATATATATATATATATATATATATATATATAAATGTATTTCCTATTTCCGTAAGTTCTATTATTTATAAAAATATGAATAGCATATTTTGAATATCTATAGCTTTCAACCGCAAATTGCTGTCCAAAATGCCAGCATCAAATCTGTCCAAAAGCCATTATGAAACAGCAGTGAGTTTAAGAAGTCAATGTCGTAGCGTGTTTTGCCAACCAGCAATTGCTTTACGCACGTTATGGAACCTTCCTCTCGGGAAATGGTCTATGGATTCTATCTAGGTCTGCGTTAGGGTGACAGTGGTTGAATCACTCTTTGGATTTTCCTATTTTCGCTTGGGTGGATTAGCGCTCACTCCGTAGCGATTTTCCGCTACCGTGCTAAGAAAATCGGCGAGGATTTGCGAGATAATAATCCGACAATAAATGTCCTCTGTCGACATCCTGGCCGGGAGTAATTTCGATTCAGTATGACGTGAAAAGGAAAAGAATGGAGACGCGCTAACAGTTCACCCTTACCTGTGTCTATATCGCTAAACTTTCGGCCATTTATAAATAGTAATATGAAAACGATAAGGAAAAATCCTTCAAGATAGCTGTATTTTTCGTCAAAATCAGGCACCAAGTAAGTTTAAAACGAACACATTATCTTGCCTGATTATTTATCCAATTTTATGTCTAGACTGCATAGCAAGGTTTGCACTATTCTGCGTGTTGCAAGTTGCAATGCAATGCTGCATGCAATTTGCCAGAGGTGGCCTAGACTCCTCCAGAGAAAAATGATCTCTCGGCTTCATCACAATCTCTCTTTTGGTTTGAAAAGTGAATCTACATAATTTGTATTTATTTACGTCTAAAGAAAC